AGCCATCTGAACCTTCACCTTAAGAAGCTAGAATAAGAAGAGTATATAAAAGCCAAGGTTTTTTCCAATTCTGTGAAGAAACTCATTGGTAGCTTGATGGGGATGGCATTGAATCTATAAATTACCTTGGGCAGTATGGCCATTTTCACGATATTGATTCTTCCTATCCATGAGCATGGTATGTTCTTCCATTTGTTTGTGTCCTCTTTGATTTCACTGAGCAGTGGTTTGTAGTTCTCCTTGAAGAGGTCCTTTACATCCCTTGTAAGTTGGATTCCTAGGTATTTGATTCTCTTTGAAGCAATTGTGAATGGAAGTTCATTCCTAATTTGGCTCTCTGTTTGTCTGTTACTGGTGTATAAGAATGCTTGTGATTTTTGCACATTAATTTTGTATCCTAAGACTTTGCTGAAGTTGCTTATCAGCTTAAGAAGATTTTGGGCTGAGACAATGGGGTTTTCTAAATATACAACCATGTCATCTGCAAACAGGGACAGTTTGACTTCTTCTTTTCCTAACTGAATACCCTTGATTTCTTTCTCTTGCCTAATTGCCCTAGCCAGAACTTCCAACACTATGTTGAATAGGAGTGGTGAGAGAGGGCATCCCTGTCTTGTGCCAGTTTTCAAAGGGAATTTTTCCAGTTTTGGCCCATTCAGTATGATATTGGCTGTGGGTTTGTCATAAATAGCTGTTATTATTTTGAGGTATGTTCCATCAATACCGAATTTATTGAGCGTTTTTAGCATGAAGGGCTGTTGAATTTTGTCAAAAGCCTTTTCTGCATCTATTGAGATAATCATGTGGTTCTTGTCTTTGGTTCTGTTTATATGCTGGATTATGTTTATTGATTTGCAAATGTTGAACCAGCCTTGCATCCCAGGGATGAAGCCCACTTGATCATGGTGGATAAGCTTTTTGATGTGTTGCTGAATCCGGTTTGCCAGTATTTTATTGAGGATTTTTGCATCGATGTTCATCAGGGATATTGGTCTAAAATTCTCTTTTTTTGTTGTGTCTCTGCCAGGCTTTGGTATCAGGATGATGTTGGCCTCATAAAATGAGTTAGGGAGGATTCCCTCTTTTTCTATTGATTGGAATAGTTTCAGAGGGAATGGTACCAACTCCTTCTTGTACCTCTGGTAGAATTCAGCTGTGAATCCATCTGGTCCTGGACTTTTTTTGGTTGGTAGGCTATTAATTATTGCCTCAATTTCAGAGCCTGCTATTGATCTATTCAGGGATTCAACTTCTTCCTGGTTTAGTCTTGGAAGAGTGTAAGTGTCCAGGAAATTATCCATTTCTTCAAGATTTTCCAGTTTATTTGCGTAGAGGTGTTTATAGTATTCTCTGATGGTAGTTTGTATTTCTGTGGGGTCGGTGGTGATATCCCCTTTATCATTTTTAATTGTGTCGATTTGATTCTTCTCTCTTTTCTTCTTATTAGTCTTGCTAGTGGTCTGTCAATTTTGTTGATCTTTTCAAAAAACCAACTCCTGGATTCATTGATTTTTTGGAGAGTTTTTTGTGTCTCTATCTCCTTCAGTTCTGCTCTGATCTTAGTTATTTCTAGCCTTCTGCTAGCTTTCGAATGTGTTTGCTCTTGCTTCTCTAGTTCTTTTAATTGTGATGTTAGAGTGTCAATTTTAGATCTTTCCTGCTTTCTCTTGTGGGCATTTAGTGCTATAAATTTCCCTCTACACACTGCTTTAAATGTGTCCCAGAGATTCTGGTATGTTGTATCTTTGTTCTCATTGGTTTCAAAGAACATCTTTATTTCTGCCTTCATTTCGTTATGTACCCAGTAGTCATTCAGGAGCAGGTTGTTCAGTTTCAAAAAAGAGCCCGCATCTCCAAGACAATCCTAAGTCAAAAGAACAAAGCTGGAGGCATCACGCTACCTGACTTCAAACTATACTACAAGGCTACAGTAACCAAAACAGCATGGTACTGGTACCAAAACAGAGATATAGACCAATGGAACAGAACAGAGTCCTCAGAAATAATACCACACATCTACAGCCATCTGATCTTTGACAAACCTGAGAGAAACAAGAAATGGGGAAAGGATTCCCTATTTCATAAATGGTGCTGGGAAAATTGGCTAGCCATAAGTAGAAAGCTGAAACTGGATCCTTTCCTTACTCCTTATACAAAAATTAATTCAAGATGGATTAGAGACTTAAATGTTAGACCTAATACCATAAAAATCCTAGAGGAAAACCTAGGTAGTACCATTCAGGACATAGGCATGGGCAAAGACTTCATGTCTAAAACAACAAAAGCAACGGCAGCAAAAGCCAAAATTGACAAATGGGATCTCATTAAATAAAGAGCTTCTGCACAGCAAAAGAAACTACCATCAGAGTGAACAGGCAACCTACAGAATGGGAGAAAATTTTTGCAATCTACTCATCTGACAAAGGGCTAATATCCAGAACCTACAAAGAACTCAAACAAATTTACAAGAAAAAAAACAACCCCTTCAAAAAGTGGGCAAAGGATATGAACAGACATTTCTCAAAAGAAGACATTCATACAGCCAACAGACACATGAAAAAATGCTCATCATCCACTGGCCATCAGAGAAATGCAAATCAAAACCGCAATGAGATACCATCTCACACCAGTTAGAATGGCGATCATTAAAAAGTCAGGAAACAACAGGTGCTGGAGAGGATGTGGAGAAATAGGAACACTTTTACACTGTTGGTGGGATGTAAACTAGTTCAACCATTATGGAAAACAGTATGGCGATTCCTCAAGGATCTAGAACTAGATGTACCATATGACCCAGCCATCCCATTACTGGGTATATACCCAAAGGATTATAAATTATGCTGCTATAAAGACACATGCACACGTATGTTTATTGCAGCACTATTCACAATAGCAAAGACTTGGAATCAACCCAAAGGTCCATCAGTGACAGATTGGATTAAGAAAATGTGGCACATATACACCATGGAATACTATGCAGCCATCAAAAAGGATGAGTTTGCGTCCTTTGTAGGGACATGGATGCAGCTGGAAACCATCATTCTTAGCAAACTATCACAAGAACAGAAAACCAAACACCGCATGTTCTCACTCATAGGTGGGAACTGAACAATGAGATCACTTGGACTCAGGAAGGGGAACATCACACACAGGGGCCTATCATGGGGAGGGGGAAGGGGGGAAGGATTGCATTGGGAGTTATACCTGATGTAAATGATGAGTTGATGGGTGCAGCACACCAACATGGCACAAGTATACATATGTAACAAACCTGCACGTTATGCACATGTACCCTACAACTTAAAGTATAATAATAATAAATTAATTAATTAATTTTAAAAAAAAGCCAAGGTAAGTAAACGAAAGGACATAAATATCAAAACCAATAAAATAGAAAACATAAAATAGAGTAAATGAAAATAGCCAAAAGTTGGAATTTTATAATGAAATGATAAATTGCCAGCAGGAGTGATCAAAAGAAAAGAAAGAGAAAATGAAATTACCAACATCAGAAATCATAAAACAAATAATGACCCATAGATCCTTTAGACTTAAAAGGTTAGAAAAGGATTGTTATGAAATACATCATTTCAATTAATTTGACAGATTAGATGAATTAGGTAAAATGTAGGGAAAGGGCAACCTTCTAAAAATGACACGCACAAAAAAACTGAAACACCTCATATCTCTTTCCAAGTAATGTGCTTTCGTTACGTGTACCTAACGTGATAGCGCTTCAGAAAACCCTAAAGAATAACTTTGTAGGAATAAGAAGTAAATTTAGCAAGTTTATAGGACTCAAGTGTCAAATAAAAAATTCCATTTCCTTTACATATACTTACAACAATGACAATTGGAATTTTTTTTTAATTAAAAATCTGTGATGAAATCTGAAAACATAAATACTGAGGAATAGATAAGGAAGATCCTTACATGAATATAAACTACAAAACTCTTCAAAACTAAACATTCGAAATACCTAACAGATATACTGTATTCAGGAATTAGAAAACCCAACATTGCTAAGATGTTGTCAGTACAGGATGATTTATGGATCCAACTTAAAATGAATACAACTCCAATATGCTCTTTTTGAGATGTAGACAATTGTTCTGCACGCTGCTCTGCAAAGTGACTTTGCCACTTCCCCATCAAAGATTATCTTTTATATCTGTAAAATCTCAAATCTGGGTGGTCATGTGATCCCTGTGACAAATAGAATATGATGCAAGTGACATTGTGTCAGTTCTGGACATAGCCCTTAACTGGCTGGACCCAACTACTTTCTACCAATGGGATATCTGACCACCATGTAAAATGCTGGACTATTCTCTGGAGTGATCTTGTGTTCCTTCATTTAAAGAGAAAGGAAGAGGGATCCAGCGCATCTCTTACTGTGATCCCTTCCAATAGGCTACAAATATGAATTGAGTTATCCTGCGTTTACATAAATCTCAGTTATCAGTTGAATAAGACAGTGACTTCAGCCCTTGCCACACAAAACAGAAGAAATACGCAGCCAACTACTATCTGAATTCCTGATTCACAAAATTTTGAGATAAAATAAAATGATGGTTGTATGAAATCACAAAATGTGGAGTCCTGCACCATACACGAAGAAAGAACCAGAATAAAAAGTGGCAAGTCAAGGTGTAATGCTTCCATAACAACAATTGAAAGTGTATGGCACTGGCTTTAGTATATGAAAATAGGGGCCTCCAGGATATTGTAAGTAAAGGCTGAAAATACAGATGTAACTGTTCTGCAGGCTATAAAAAAAGTCAGTCACTATCCAGTGCTGAAAAAATTTAGTAATTCTGTCACCTATAATAAGGCAGAAAATAAAAAATGTACTTAATAGGTGGATTTGGCTAAAATTTCCAAATAGAATATTGAAAGTTACAGCTGTTTCTTATAGCATTACTGTACCTTATAAGTCATAGATTTTTAAAATATATATGTATTACTTAAAAGATTAACTGTTACATTTTCAGACAGAATTCACAAGAAACATAAAAGAGCCAGAACTTGATGGTTTCAGAGATAAAAATCTTTTCCCTTTCCAGTCTCTGCAAAGAGCTAAGCACTCTAAAAGTAAGAAAGGTCATCAAAATAAAAGTCATTTCAAAGTTGTGGATGTTAAGACACGTTGAAAAGACTTCAGAAAAATTTAATGGCGTGTCTCAAAAGTACTTTAAACTGTACGAACATAATTCTAAGATTCTTAAGAGTATTTTCTGATGGCAAATAGAGTTTCAGCTCAAACCTGAGGGCCAGTTTCAAAGACATTTGTGAATATGGTGCTTGTATATTCCCCAGGCCTTTAAATAAATTACTCAGAGGGAATCACCGTAGCCTTCCCTTTTGAACAGGAGCATATATTTTAATTACCTGTGCCTCCCTTTCTCCATTATGACTATATGACTCAATCGATATATCCTGACTCAATAGATGTATAATAGAGAAAAACCATAATTTAAAATGTGCACAATAGGACCTGAACCCTAGCAGCTCCATCCACTCTCAGTCTGGATATAGAGGCTGAGATCTTGAACTTCAAACAGATGCCATGATGCGATGACTTCTTAATTGAGCTGGGAGCATCTCAGTCCTGCCTTCCCACTTTGGGATCCTTGAATTATCCTTAGAAGTCTGAACATTTCACTGGGAAGACCTTGTCTACATACCTCCTTATCTACAAGAGAATGGACACTCTTATTCTAAATATTGTTAACTTTTACACAAGAGTTTTTCTATAGCATTTCTCATCTCTAAATTTTTCAACGTGTATATAAAAGGGTTCAAAATGGGTGCAATAACTGTAAAAAATATAGTCATGAATTTATCAATAGAAAAGTTTGAAACAGGTCTCACATATATGAAAATACAGGGAACAAAAAACAGGACAACCACGGTAATGTGGGAGCTGCAGGTAGACAGGGCTTTACGCCTCCCTTCCTGACTGTAGGTTTTAAGGGAGTTTAGGATGACCCCATAGGAGATTAGTAGAAGGATGAAGACGACCATATAGATTGCTCCACCATTGAAAACCACTGTGAGGCCTATAAAGTAGGTGTCAGTGCACGCCAGTTCCAATAACGGGTAAACGTCACAGTAAAAGTGGTCAATGACATTGGGGCCACAGAAGGGGAGAGTGTACACAACAACAGTCTGAAACACAGAATGCACAAAACCTCCAGTCACAGCCAACACCAAGACAAGGATGCAAACCTGTCGATTCATGATGGTCAAATAGTGCAGTGGCTTACAGATGGCCACATAGCGATCATAGTCCATCACTACCAGAAGGAAGATCTCAGCACCACCACACAAGTGGCCTATAAATAGCTGGCCCATGCAAGCTGGGAAGGAAATAGTCTTTTTATCACAGAGTAAGTCTACAATCAATACGGGAGAAACGGTGGTGGAATACACAGCATCTACAAATGACAGGCAGGCAAGGAAGAAGTACATTGGGGAGTCCAAAGAAGGGCTGGCAATAATAGTCACCACAATGAGTAGGTTCCCCACCATGGTCACAATATATGTGAGTAAAAACATGACAAATAATGCATTTTGCACATCAGGATCCTGAGAAAAGCCCAGGAGGACAAATTCTGTAATATTGTTATTCTGTCTCATTTACTCTTTTTCAGAAGATGTATCAGAGGTTAGAGCTCAGGAGAACAGGACCTGTAATGGAATAATGAACAGGAATATGATCATATCCACTGTGTCGCAGAGCACATCTTCACTGTTGTGTCCTGAATAGTGATTAAAACACAATAAACATTGAGTAAGTCTCTACTGAGTTTCTCATTCAAAAAGCCTATCTTCCCTTGATGACTCTATTTCTCCTCAAAGATTTTATTTTCAGCCACAGGTAAAGGCTTCTACCTCTATGTTTTAGTGAATATTCCATACAGAAGGAGTGTTAAAGCTCCAATAGCCATTCATATATTACATAACTTCTTACTTAAAGCATTTTTCTTGGCATAGAAGTCAGCTATGATGAATAGGCAATGGGTTCTTGGTCTCAAAAACCTTACTCTTTGGTAGCGGTAATAAACTCTATATAAATAAATTGATTGGTAGCGGTAATAAACTCTATATAAATAAATTGACATAGCTTTAGCCCTTGGTGTTTGTATTTCTGGTATCTTTATAGTATGATCTGGGTCGCACCAAGAATAACATTTTCTGAAATATCTCACTCAGTACTCTGGCCTTCTACTATTAGACTCCATCCCTTCATGCCTCGAAGGATGCTCAGTATTCATTAGTCTTTCATTACATGCCAAAAGACAGGACTCTGAACTGTATAAATAACGATTATATTTTTATTACATTGTTCCCTTTAGCAATTACTTAGTCTGACTTTCTGTCCACCTTATAAGGAGCTGTGATTCTCTCCATTTTATCCTTGCTTATATTCCAATTTTTACCATATTTACATACAACATTCAAATTTTCAGCAGTTAATTTGAACTCAAGTGAACTAACTCATGGCTATCACCAACTACCAAATATGCCATGAGTTTTTTTCTTCTGAATTCTTGAGATTAACTAGGTAGAGAGAGAGGAGAAAATAGACACTGTAGAAAAAGGTACAGAACAGCGGGATGCGGTTTTATTCATAACACTACTTAGATACCAAGAGTAGGCAAAAAGAAGAATCTAAGTTACCAGATTCCAAAATGAAGCATGTTCTAGTAGAAATTCCATGTTCAGTGTAAAAAGGCATGGATTTGGGTCATTTTCTGAACGCATTTACAAGTCTTATCTCAGTTTGCTCACTGGAAAACAATAGGATTACATTTGAGAAATTCAGACTCCTTTCTAGTCAACTATCTGCAGAACTATGAATGTACTTCTCCTTTATGGTATTCTGCTAACATTTTTTTTCATTTTTTATAAATTTATAATTAAATAAAAATTTCCAAGCTCATGACTCTTACTGAAAAATGGTAGTCAGTGGGAAATGGGATTTCATGATTACAGTAAATAGTGACTATAAGTCTATCACCGAGCATGTACCTATAAGATCTGAGACATTCTTAGAGAGAAAATGTAGCATATGGTAAATAATGTGGACACTGGAGCCACACTGCTTCAGCTACAACTGCAACTTCACTATTTTTTTTTTTCCAAATAGAGATTTTGGGTCATTTACTAAAGCTCTCTGTTCCTTACTTTCATCATTTTATAAGGGGGACCCCAATAGTCCTTACCTCTTACAGTTGTTGTTTTATTAAAACTAAGTAAAGTTCCTAAAATACTGGCAGGCACCTGGGAAGGGCTCAAAAATGATAGCTTCACTGTGAACATAAAATCAAAACAAATCATGCAGATCTTTGTCAACTTGAAAAGATTTATAGAGATAGTCCAGGAAAAAAAAAAAAAGGATAAGATACCTATAATTCAAGAAAGCCTTTTGGGTGCACAGGATAAAATTGTATGCCTTAGAAAATAATGATTTAATAACATGCATAGTAATTTTACCTGTGATGAAATATATCTTGATGAGAAGCACAGAATTATAGTGAAAAAGTTGAACCCACCATCGGGGAGAGTTCAGGAAATGAAAAGAAGGCTAAAATCAGAAATCAGAGAAATTTTAGTTACTAAATGAGTATTCACAAGCTATAAGAAGATTAATGAGATAATTAAGTGAGGCTAGTATTCTTTAAAATCTGCTTCAGAAAGATTCCTTTTAGTGAGGAAATACTGGAAGTGCACCTCCTGTGGCTTGCTGGGGTGACTCAGGAGGCTTTTGGGGGTAGCCATAACAAACACAGACAGGATCCTAGTTTAAAAAAATGAAAACAAAATTCAAAAGAAAAAAAAAACATTGTTCTTCAAAGTCTCTAGATCTGACAGTTAAAGACAAACTTATATTACAGAGAACAATGAGACAAGTACAGATACAAACCCAAACTTTCTGAGTACTCACTGCTGAGCAAAACGGCAAGATTACTAAACCTCAAATGTAGACAGGATTATTCCATTTACATAGATCTGGCAGTGGCAGAGGACGTGTACAGAGAGAGTTTGAGCTGCCTCTAGCATCCAACTGTGATGAAAAATCCACCTCTCATTCACATTACTAATTCCAGCTGGTTCCAGAGTTCTGTCACTCTTGAAGCTATAGACTTATAGAGAGACATCTGCTGAAGAACGCAAGGGAATAAAGTAGTCTATAGAGAATTCTGTTATTTATTCACACATTATTTGCTGGAAGGTTTAGTGCCTTTTCCTCCTTTCATCATCAAAACTATTTCAACAGATAGTTGGAATTCAACAGGATAATTCTTTTGGCAATTTAAATATTTACTTGTAAAAAATAGGTATATAAACTGTCTTCTATAATTTAAGTATTTAAAATATAATACCTTGAAACTGAAAGATAGCATTACTAGGCTTTCAATGTAAACTGCTAAGTTAACATTTTTCTAGAAAAAAACGATTTAACCATTTCCTAAAGACACAACATTTTCAAATGATAAAATATCATAAAAACATAAAAATCTCCATAATATTATATTTCACAGTCACAGTTTTATAAATCTATTTAAATAACAGTAGACCATATACTTTCCTGAGCCTATATGCCTACTAGTATGTTTGCTGAGATTATTTTTAGATACATAAACAAAAACCTATAATATGCTGCAGAATATAAGAGTCATTGGTTCCTTAACACTCTAATACATCTGACATGATCTGCAATTTTAAACTCTCTAATCAAATATACCTGAAAGTAATTGTACACCTTTACTAATGTATCATATAAAATATAATATCCCATAAACAAATATTATGATTATAAAACAATTGGTTTATATACATGTATATGAAACCTGTTTTTCTTCTTATTTGGCAAATAGAAAAGGAAAACAAATTAGGCTATATATTAAAACCAAATATATATTGCATATTCTGAGAATTTTTTATGTTTGCTAACTTAACTTTTCCAATTAGAATTTCTTCAGCAAAATCGTGTGGTATTTAAGACATTAGCTACATTCAACATATCACATGAATTTTCAATAAATGTCTTTTGTCAGTGGTTTCAAATACTCACATCGTGGTCCAGAAAACCAATGCTTCTTTCACTAAACATTAATGTAGATGCCTCAGACATGTATGTGTGATCATAAAACACATTGATACAAACAGCTGATCCATGGACACAGAAATACTTCCTAGAGGCTACAGTTTCCACAGTCCCACACAGGCTTCTCATTATTACTCATTAGAGAAGTATGGCACTATCCAAAGCAGATGACCAAAATATAAAGAAGCTTAAACATATTGTAGAAAGGTTGTTAAATATTCTTACCCGCTGGAAAATTTCTTCATAGGAAAACAAAACACTATCTTTGTATGACTATATAAAAATTGACATAATGAGAGGAAATTAACCTGGACAAGACCCTTATTTGTGAGACAAGTAAACAAAAATGTACCGATAACTCCTGGCCTCTAGTGAACCACCTGCCTTGGCCTCCCAATATGCTGGGATTACAGGCATGAGGCGCCACGCTTGGCCTTATTATTATTTTCTTGAATGCAATATGTTCTTAAAATTTTTGTCTTTATGTTGCTGTTATTCTGCTGTCGCTTTTCTGTTTATCCTTTTAAAACGAACTATTCTTTTTAAAATTCATTTTTCATGAAATTTTTAACATCTAATAAATTCATAACTTTTTTCTTTCAGTAATTTTAGAGAATTTTCAGTTATATCTCTTCAAATATTTTGCCTACCTGATTTTTTTCTTTTTCTGGAGTTTTAATTAAATTAAAAGTGTCTCAGAGTTTTGTGTTGTGTTTTTATATCTCTTTTATACTATTTTCTTCATTTGCTTTTTCTTCTCTCTGCTTTGTTCTGCGTATTTTCTTCTAATATTTCTTGCAATTTGCAAATTCTCTAATTTTTCATCTAATTTGTCATTAAATCCAATCACTGAGTTTTTAATTTGTTATTGTATATTTTAGGTTTTCAATTTTTTGGTTAATTTTGTTATCTATCTTGTGTTTTAATATTTGTACATACTAAGCTTAATTTTCCCAATTAGAATTTATCCAACAAAATCATATGGTATTTAAGACATTAGCTACCTTTCAACTTATCAAATAAATTTTTAATGAATATCTCTTGTCAACAGTTTCAAATACTCATATTTTGGTCCAGAAAAGCAATGCTTCTTTCATTGATGGTTACTGTAGATACCTCATGCATCTATGTGTGATCATAAAACACATGAATATAGATGGCTGATCAATGGATTTTGAATTAGCTCCTAGTGGCTACCGTTTCCATAGTTCCACACAGGCTTCTCATTATCTCAGTCTTCAAAGAAGTATGGCACTGCCCAAAGCAGATGACCGAAATATAAAGATGTTTAAACATAATGTTAATTTTTATTCTACAAAGGTAGTTGAATGTTCTCACCTGCTGAAAATTTTCTTCATAAAAAACAAAGATCCTAAGTTTGCATGACTATATAAAAATTGACATACTAGAAATTAACCAAGATGAGCCCATTATTTATTGGCACAAGTATCAACACTAAAATTTGTTACTTGAAAGTTTTCTCAATTATGATGAAGAAACCAGAAGTACTTTACTATGATTGAGGATTTAGAATAACGTTCAGGGGTCCAGCTACTAAGCTTTGTACCTATCAGGAAAAACGGTGAGATTTAACTTCATGGAAAAACCAATGACAGTACTTTCCCACAGGCAGAAGCCAAACTCTTCAGTCTTTCAGTCATTCAACTAACATATGCCTAAGACCACTTCTCTCCTAAGTGAAAGCATGTCTCTATATCTCCCCAATATCATCCCAGGATATTTAGACCTTTCCCACATTTTTACAAGCAATGGTGGATATGATGAGAAAACATTACACCTAGAGGACTAGATACCAACCAAAGACATACTCTATCTTGGGCAAATAATAATCACTTTCTCAATATCTTCTGGGCTATTCCATCAGGAAAATAATTCATCCATTTATGTTTGTAGGCAGAGTCTATGACTTTTACATCAACAATATTTTAAATAAACAAGACAGTAAGGTCATTATAGATTTGTTAATTAGAATATTTGAAACAAATTCAAATGAACTAATCTCTCTGAAAACTTTTATTCTTAGAAAATCCCTAGAGGAAAAACACTTGGCTCTTGCTAAGCAAAAGTAGCTAAGTGCCAAATAATGTCAAAAGCCTGTAATATGAGAAGAAAAACTCAAAAGTAAATTAAATAATAAAATATGATTTCACATTATGAAATATTTAGGTGAGGCAAGTAATATTTCAGCCAGAATGAAAGGAGAACCAGCCCCATGTTCTCTTCTCTTAAAACATTCCTGGTGAGGAGGGCCTTACCCTTCCTGTTACAAAGTCCATACCAAAGAAGCCCTGAGGCTGAGAGGCAGAGAGCCTAAGAATGGAAGTTGACATTCTGATTCCTGGAAAGACAGGCAATCATAGTGCTGCAGTTTTAGAGTACAGGCTTTTGATCAAGGCCTGAAACTGTGTCAGATAAAATCATAATGATCTGCATTCCATTCATTCAATTTTTAAATTTTATTCCAATATAAATTTAATAACTGATTCTACAATGAAGAAATTTTTATTTGCCAACAAGGGAGCAGTGCTTAAGGGCTTCCATTTTATTTCCATGACTTGGCTTACCATTGGCTCCATGGAACACCTTCATCTCATCATAAGTTAATTAAATATTGGATTTTTCTGCTATAAGATCCTTAGATAAAGAGTCCCATAAACACCTATCTGAACCAGCTCAAGTCTTTATCACATAATGGGCTCCACTGAAAATTGGTCATTTTCAACTTACCTAACATGTTTTCAATTCGTCCACCCTCAATGTAATATATATTATTGCTAACACTTGAAGAGCATGTCTAAAGGTGCTGTGATCTCTTACTGGTAAGTGGTAAAACATGCACAAACCTATGTTTATTTCTAGAGAACTATCAGATATGATCAAAGATACTGTGGTTCAAATTATGACTCCAAGATGAAGAACTAATATATGAAAATAATACCTAATTTTCTATGTCCCTTCCAGTTATGTGAATTCTCTATAAATTCCAATAACTACTAATACCAACGCTCAGTGTGGAAGTGGATCCTTCCTCAGCCAAGCCTTCGTATGAGATGGTAGCCCCAAAAGCACCTTGATTACAGCTTTGTGAGAGACTTTGAAGCATGGAAACCTGCCAAACCATCCTTAGTTTCCTGACCTACAGAAATTGAGAAGGAGTACATACTGTTTGAATCACTAAGTTTTGAAATAATTTGCTATGAATAAATACATAACTCATAAATATATCTAGAATAGACTTCAAATACTGGTAAACATGCCAATAAATATTTAGTAAACCTATGAATCAAGCAAAAGGTATAATGGAAATTTGCAATTATTTAGAACTAAGCGATAACAGAAACATATCAAAATGTGTGAGGTGTAATCAAAACACTACTTAAAGAAAAATGGATAGCTATAAATGCTTACATTTAAAATAAATGTTTAAAAGCAGCCATCTTATCCTTCACCTTACGAAACTAGAAGAAGAGTAAATACAAGCCAAGGTAAGAAAACAAAAGAATATAAGTACAAAATCAAAAACCAATAAAATGGAAAACATAAAATAGAGAAAAAGAAAATAACCAAAAATTGGTACTTTAATAATGAAATTAATAAACTGCTGGCAAGAGAGAACAAAGGGAAATTCAAATAACCAATATCAGAAATAATAAAACAAATAATCATCCCATAGATCCTTTAGACTTTAAAAGGTTAGAAAAGCGTTGTTATGAAATACATTATTTCAATTAACTGGACAGCTTAGATGAATTAGGTAGAATGTAGGGAAAGGACTACCTTCTAAAAATGACACAAAGGGAACTGAAACACTCCAATATCTTTCCAAGTAATGAGCTATCCTTACTTGTAGAAAACATGATAGTGTTTCAGAAAACCCTAAAGAATCTACAGATGTAACTTTGTAGGAATGAGAAATAATTTAGCAAATTTATAGGACTCAAGTGTCAAATAAAAAATTCAATTCCTTTATATAAACTATCAACTTTTTTAAAAATTAAAAACCTGTGATGAAATCTGAAAACACAAACACTTAGGAATAGATAAGGAAGATCCCTACATTAATAAAAAATACAAAACTCTTCAAAAATAAACTTTAAAAATACCTAACAGATATATTGTATTCAGCAGCTAGAACACACAATATTGTTAATGTTAGTACAAGTTGATTCATAGATCCAACTTAAAATGAATAAAACTCCAATATGCTCTTTTGAGATATAGACAATTGTTCTACATGCTGCTCTGCAAAGTGACTTTGCCAGTTCCCAACCAAGAGTTATCTTCTATTTCTGTAAAACCTCAAATCTGGTGTGGTCATGTGACCACTCGGTTGACTAGAATGTGATGCAAGTGACATTGTGCCAGTTCTGGACCTAGCACTTAACCTGCCAGACCCATCTACTTTCTACCGCTAGGATCTCTGAGCAACATGTAAAAAGCCTCACTATTCAATGGAGTGATCTTGATGTCCTTCATCTAAAAGGACAGGAAGAGGGACCCAGAACATCTCTTAAGGGTTATCCCTTCCAACATACTATAAATGTGAATTAAGTTATCCTGCATTTTACAGAATCCTCAGTTATCAGGTGAATAAGAGAGTGACTCCAGTCCTTGCCACACAAAACAGAAGAAATACCCTGCCAACAACTGCCTGAATTCCTGGCTCACAAAATTTTGAGATAAAAGAATATGGTGGTTGTTATAACTCATAATAACTGTGGGGCTCTGAACCTTACATGAAGACAGGACCTCAAAGTGTGGTATTTCCACCACAACAATTTAAAGTGTATGACACTGGTTTTAGTGCCCCAAAATAGCAGCCACCAGGATATTATAAGTGAATGCTTAAAAGACAGAAGTAACTATTCTAGAAGCTGTGACAAAAGTGAGTTGCCATCCAGGACTGAAAAAATTTAGTAATTCTGTCACCTATAGGAAGGTAGAAAATGAAAAATGTACTTAAGTGAATAGGTGGATTTCGCTAAAATTTCCAAGGAGAATATTGAAAATTGCAGCTGTTTCTTACAGCAGTGTGTTACATTAAAAGGCACAGATTTTTAAAAAACACATTGCTTAAAAGATTAACTGTTACATTTTCAGACAGAAATTACAAGAAATATAAAAGAACCAGAAATTACTAGCTTCACACATAAAACTCATTCCCCTTTCCGGTCTCTGCAAAGAGCTAAGTACTCTAAAAGTAGAAAGGTCATCAAAATAAATGTCATTTCAAAGGTGTGGAAGTTAAGACACTTGGAAAGACCATGGGAAAATTTAACGGTATATCTCATGAATACATTAAACTAGACAAACATAATTCTAAGATTCCTAAGAGTATTATCTGACTGCATGTAGAGTTTCAGCTGAAGTCTGAGCAAGGCCCGTTTCACAGATATTTGTGAATATAGTGCCTGTATATTCCACAAAGACTTTAAATAAATTACACTGAAGGAAGCACCATAGCCTTCCCTTCTCAACAGGAGCCTCCATTTTATTACCTATTCCTACATTTCTCCATTGTGTGCTGAGTATGTGGAAGAAATACCGGGTCTCAAAGATTTGTAAATAGGAAAATTATCATTTGAATCGTGCACAATAGGACCTGCAAAGAAGCAGCTCCATCCACACTCAGCCGGGATATAGACATTGAGATATTGAACTTCAAACAAATGCCACGATGGGATGATTTCCTAATTGAGCTGTGAGCATCTAAATCCTGTCTTTCCACTTTGAGATGCTTGACATGCCCTTAGAAATCTGAAAACTTGACTGGGAAGACCTTGACTACATAACTCCTTATCTACACGAGGAGGGACACTCTTATTCTAAATATAGTTAACTTTTTACCCAAGAGTTTTTCTATAGCATTTCTCATCTCTGAATTTCTCAACGTGTATATTAAAGGATTCAACATGGGTGTGATAACTGTATAAAAAACAGTCATGAATTTATCAATAGGAAAGGTTGAAACAGGTCTAACATACATGAAAATACAGGGAACAAAAAAGAGGACAACCATGGTGATGTGGGAGCTGCAGGTAGACAGGGCTTTACGCCTCCCTTCCTGACTGTAAGTTTTAAGAGAGTTTAGGATGATTCCATAGGATATTAATAGAATGATGAAGATGACCATACACATTGCTCCACCATTGACAACAACAGTGAGGCCTATAAAGTAGGTGTCAGTGCACGCCAGTTCCAATAATGGGTACATATCACAGACAAAGTGGTCAATGACATTGGGGCTACAGAAAGGGAGACTGTACACAACAACAATTTGAAACACAGAATGCACAAAACCTCCAGTCACAGCCGCCATCAACAGAAGGATGCAAACCTGTCGATTCATGATGGTCAAATAGTGCAGTGGCTTACAGATGGCCACATAGCGATCATAGGCCATCACCACCAGAAGGAAGATCTCAGCACCACCAAACAAGTGGTCTATAAATAGCTGACCCATGCAAGCTGGGAAGGAAATAGTCTTTTTGTCACAGAATAAGTCCACAATCAACTTAGGAGAAATGGTAGTGGAATATACAGCATCTATAAGTGACAGGCAGGCAAGGAGGAAGTACATTGGGGAGCCCAAGGAAGGGCTGGAAATAATAGTCACCACAATGAGTAGGTTCCCCACCATTGTCATAAAGTATGTGAGTAAAAATGTGACAAATAATGCTTTTTGCACACCAGGATCCTGAGACAAGCCAAGTAGGACAAATTCTGTAATATTGTTATTCTGTCTCATTTACTCTTCTTCCAGGCTTATATCAGAGGTGAGAGCTCAGGAAAACAGGACCTGTAATGAAACAGTGAGCAGGAATATGATCACATCCTTTGTTTCACAGAGCACATCTTCGTTGTTGTATCCTCAATATTGATTTACACACAATAAACATTTGGTAAGTCTCTGTTGAGTTCTTCACACAAAGAGCCCATCTTCCCTTAAGGATTCTATTTCTCCTCAAATATTTTAATTTAAGCCAAAAGTTCAACGCTTCTACCTCTTAGAGTTAGTGAATAGTCTACGCAGAAGAATAGTTAAAGTCCCAACAGCCATTCATACATTTCATAACTTCTTATTTAAAACATTTTTCTTGGCACAGAAGTCAGCTGTGATGAATAGGCAATGGGTTCTTGGTCTCAAGAAACTTACTCTCTGATGGTAGTAATAAACACTAAATAAATAAGTTGAAATAGATTGAAGTCCTTTGTGTTTGTACTTGTGGTATTTATGATATGATCTATGTAGCACCAAGAATAACATCTTATAAAATATGTCACTCAGTGCTCTCGCTTTCTACTGTTAGACCTTCATTCCCTCATGCCTCAAAGGATGTTCAGTCTTAATTAGTCTTTCATTAAATGTCAAATGACAGGACTCTAAACTGTATAAATGCTATGATATTATTTATCACATGTTAACTTCAGCAATTATTTGGTCTGACTCTCTGTTTACCTGATAAATAAGGAGCCGTGTTTCTCTCCATTTTATCCTTACCTATACACCAATTTTACAACACTTACAGACAATATTCAAATTATCACCAATTAATTTTGAACTCAAGTGAACTAATTCATGACTATCATCAACTACCAAATAAGCAGTGAGTATTATTTTCTGAATTATTGGGATGAGCTAGGTGGTGAAAGAGGAGAAAGTAGACACTGTAGAAAGACATACAGAACAGTGGGACATGGTTTTATTCATAATACTATTTAGATACGAAGAGTACTGAGATTCCAAAAAGAAGCATACTCTAAGAGAAATTCCAAGTTCAGTGTAAGAAGGCTTGGATTTGAGTCATTTTCTGAATGCATTTAGAAGTCTGTCTCAGTTTACTCACTGGAAAACAATGGGATTAAAGTTGAGAAATTCAGAATCCTTTCTAGTTAACTATCTACAAAACGATTAGTGCACCTCTTTTTATGGTATTCTGCTGACTTTTTTTATTTCTTTTATAAATTTATAAATAAATAAAAATTTCCAAGTTCATGTCTGTTACATGAAAAATGGTAGTCTGTGGGACATGGGGTTTCATAATTATAGTAAGCAAATAATGACTATAAGTTTCTCACTCAGTATGTACCTATCTAAGATCTAAGAATTTTTGGAGAGAAAGTGCGGCATGTGGTGAATAATGTGGACACTGGAGCCACACCGCTTCAGCTACAACCTCAGCTTCACCATTTTTAATAAGCTTTTGGGCCATTTACTAAAGTTCTCTATCCCTTACTTGCATCCTCTTTAGAACTGTGAAATACCCCTTACCTCTTAGAGTTGTTGTTAATTAAAACAAAGTAAAGAACACTGGCTGGCACCTCTTACGGGCTCAATAAATAACAGCTATTATTAGTGTTCTTGAATGATTCACTGTGAACATAGAATCAGAACAAAATATGCAGATCTCTGTCAACTGGAAAAGATTTATAGACACAGTCGAGGAAAAAAAAGAAAAAGATACCTATAATTCAGGAAAGCCTTTTGTGGGCAAACAATAAAATTGTATGTCTTAGAAAATAATGATTGAATTATATGAGTAGTAATTTTACCTGTGATGGAATGTATCTTGACGAGAAGCAAGCAGAATTATAGTAAAATGTTGGACCCACCATCAGGGAGAGCTCAGGAAATGAAAAGAAGGCTAAAATTATAAAACAGAGAAATGTAGTTAACGAACATCCACAGCAATAAGAAAAGTAATGGGATAATACAAGTCAGGTTAGTAATCTTTTGAAATGCTCTTCATAAAGATTCCATTTATTGAAGAAATACTGAAAGTGTACTCTCCTGTGGGTCCCTGGGGTGACTCAGGAGGTTTTCTGGGGTAGCCAAAGCAAACACCGATCAGATCCTAGTAAAAAAAAAAAAAAAAAGAAAAGAAAATTCAAAAGAAAAAGAACCACATTGTTACTCTAAGTCTCTAGATCTGACAGCAAAGGACAAACCAATTAAAGAGAAAAATGGGACAGGTTGAGATACAAACCAAGACTTTCTGATTATTCACTGCTGAGGAAAACTGAAGAATTACTAAACCTCAAACATAGACGGGATGATTCCATTTACATAGATCTGGCAGTGGAAAGGATGTGAGCAGAGAAAGTTTGAGTTGTCTCTAGAAGCCAGCTGTGATGAACATTCCACATGTTTCCTTCTTGTTACCACAAGCTGATCACAGAGTTCTGTCATTGTTGAAGGTGTAAATCAAGAGATGCATCTGCTAAGAAGACAAGGGAATAATGTAATCTATAGCCAATTCTATTATTTTTTCACACCTTACTTGCTGTAAGGTTCAGTGCTTTTTTCCGCTTCCATCATCACAACTAGATTTCAACAGGATAATTCTTTTGGCAATTTAATGTTTACTTGTAAAAAATGGGATGTGTAAACTTGTAAACTATCTCTACAGTTTAAGTAATTAAAAATGGAATACTTTAGAAACTGAAAGATACCATTATTAGGGTTTCAATGTAAACTGCTCAGTTAACATTTTTCTAGAAAAAAAAAATTGATTTAACATAGTTTCTTAAGAACATGACATTTTCAAAAGATAAAATGCGATAACAAAAAACCTCTATAATATTATATTTCATAGTCACAGTTTTACAAATCTATTTAATTGACAGTAGATTAGGTAGTTTCCTCAGCATATATATCTACTAGTCTGTTTGCTGGCATATTTTTAGATTCATAAGTAAAAACCCATATTATGCTTCCAGAACATAACAGGCATTGGTTCCTTCATACTCTAACACACTTGACATGATCCAGAATTTTAAACTCTCTGATCAAAAATATCTGAAAGTAATTGTACACCTTTAATAATATACCATTAAAATATATGTTAAAATATAACATTCCATAAACTAAGATTATGATTAAAAATCTACTGCTTTATCATACATGTAATATGGGACATGTTTTTCTTCTTATTTAGCAAATAGAAAAGGAAAACAAATTAGGCTATATATTAAAACCAAATATACATTGCATATAATGGAAAATTTTCATGTTGCTAGCTTAACTTTCCCAATTAGATTCCTTCAACAAAATAATATGGTATTTAAGACATTAGCCACATTTCAACATATCAAATGAATTTTCAATCAATATATTTTGTCAATAGATTCAAATAGTCACATCATGGTCCAAAAAAGCAATGCTTCTTTCACTGAGCATTGATGTCAATACCTCATGTATGCATGTGTGATGATAAAACACATGAAATGAATAGCTGATCCATGGATATAGAATTAGTTCCTAGTGGCTATAGTTTCCATAGTTCCACACAGGCTTCTCATTATCTCAGTTATTAGAGAAGTATGGCACTATCCGAGGCAGATGACCAAAATATAAAGATGCTTAAACATAATATACAAAGGTATTTAAATATTCTCACCTGCTGGAAAATTTCTTCATAGAAAAAGATACTATCGTTGCATGACTATGTAAAAATTGACCTAATTAGTGGAAATTAACCTAGACAAGACCCTTATCTTGTGACACAAGTGAATAAAAATGTACTAACACTAAAATTTTTTATGTGAAATATTCCTCAATTATGGTGAAGCAACCAGAAGTACTTTACTGTAATTGAAGGTTTATAATAACATTCACGTGCCCAGCTATTAAGCTTTGTACCTAACAAGGAAAATGCTGAAATTTAACTTCATGGAAAAACCAGTGACAGAGCATTCTCACAGGCAAAAACCAAACTCTTCAGTTTTTTAGTCATCCAAATTTCATTCAAATAGCGTACCCCTAAGTCCATTTCTTTCCTAATTAAAAACATGTCTTTGTATCTCCCCCTACCTCATCCAAGTAAATTGAGAAGTTTCACAAATTTTTACAAGAAATGGAGGGTATGACAAGAAAACATCACACCTAGAGAGCTAGATTCCAACTGAAGACATACTCTACCTTGGGCAGAAATTTAACTCTTCAGATATTTCTTGGGTTATTTTATCAAGAAAAAAATATTTTCATTATGTGTATACACACAATCTATGACTTTTACATCATCACCACTTAAAATAAAAAAGTCATTATAGCTTAGTTAATTTGAATATTTGGAATAAATTCAAATGAAATAACTCCCTAAATACTTGTTTTCCCCTTAGAAAATCCCTAGAGGGAAAAGACTTGGGTCTCACCAAGGAAGAGCAGGTAAATGCCAAGTAATGTGAAAAGCCTATAATGTGAAAAGAAAAATGCTAACATAAACTGAACAATAAGTTATGAGTTTTACATTATGAAATACTGAGGTAAGGCAAGTAATATTGAAGCCAGAATGAAGCAGGAACCAGCCCCAGGTTCTCTTCCTTAAGCATATTCCCAACAAGGAGGGCCTTACCCTTCCTGTTAGAAAGACCATGCTCAAAAGCCCTGAGGCTTAGAGACAGAGAGCCTAAGGACAGAAGTTGACATTCTCATTCTTGAAAATGTAGGTAATCATAGTTCTATAGTTTTAGAGTACAAGCTTTTGATCAGGGCCTGAATCTATGTCAGATATAACCATAATGATCTGTAGTCCATTAATTCAATTCTTTAATTTTATTCCAACATCAGTAACTGTTTATACAACAAATAAATTTGTATTTGCCAAGAAGAGAGCAGTGCTTAAGGTCTGCCTTTGTTATTTCCATGACTTGGCTTACCATTCGCTCCACTGAACACCTTGATCTCATCATAAGTTTAGTTAAATATTGGCTCTTCGTTGTCATAAGAACCCTAGATAAAGAGTCCCGTAAATACTTATCTGAACCAGCTAAGGTCTTTATCACTTGACAGGCTCCACTAAAAGTTGTTTATTTTCAACTTACCTAATAAATGGATTAAATTCATCCACCCCAAATGTAATATGTATCACTTCTAAAATTTGAAGAGCATGTCTATGAGCACTGTGCCCTCTTACTAGTAAGTGGTGAAAGATGCACGAACGTATCTTTAATTCTGAAGAACTATCAGATATGAACAAAGATAATGTGGATTAAATTATGACTCCAAGATGGAGAACTAATATGAAAATAAGCCATAATTCTCTATGTCCCTTCTATCTGAATTCGAATAACTACTAATGCTTTCCACTTTTCAGAATGACACAATGGTGTTTGTTAGATCAGATGATGCCTACGACAGTCCAGAATCTGAATTTATTTGCTCCAATAATAAAAAGTACACAAAAATTAACTAATGTATAAATTGCCAAAAATATGCCATAGTCCATAGTAATTCTCTGCAACTCATGCCTATTACCAAGCTAGAAAGTTAAATATACTTACAATATACATTTATTTTTTAAAGGAAAATGCATGTATATTAGTCCCTTCTCCAATTGCTATAAGGAAATACCCAAGACTGGGTACTTTATAAAGAAAAGAGGTGTAATTGACTCACAGTTCCGCATGATTGGGAAGGCCTCAGGAAACTTACAATCATGCCTCTTCACAGTATGGTATGTGATAAGGTTTCTCTTCAAATAATCTGATCAATCTTGTATTCTTTAATTCATAGTACCCCTCAATTTTTCTCCTTTTTTTCTCCTTTTCCCTTCTTGCCTTTGTTTAATGCCCAGGCACGCCACAGTACCAAGCATTATCAGTACCAGCTCACATTCCTTTCCTTATTTGGAAAGAGGACTCACTTTCTGGCTCATTACAGACACCCCTTCCCCTTTCCCTCCACTTTCCTTCATATGCCCACCCTATCTAAGAAAAATCAAATGTTTAGCCAATTGGGATCAGTTTAGATTGTATGACCCGACCCCGACCAATGGGGAAAGGGTACAGAGGCAGGACTTGTGTCAGGAATAAAGGCTCTCGTGCCCCTTTGTTCAGGTGTGCTCCCATGGCAACTGGCCAAGGAGGCACCCCTCTGCGCAGAAGTAAAATTGCTTTGCTAAGAATCCTTTGTCCGAGTGTTCAATTTCCCTAGGATTTTGAACGTTATTCCTAACTGTTCTGATGTCCATCTTTGGAACTTGAATATTCTCCTTCGGAAAGGGGGCCTTCGATCACCCCACCAATGGGGGACACGTCCTACTGTCTAGTTACGGTGGCCCTAGGGTGAGGGAGATCAAGGCCCACCCATTGTAATGAATAAATCTGGATTCTCAGCAAAGCGGGTGGGAGAGGCTTGCAAGACCGCGGCAATAAGAGGACCAGGTAATTCTTGTGCACGGAGTAAGGTAGGAGATTTCGTGAAGGCACAAAGTATTTCCTGGGTGGTCGGGACAAGTTGGAGGCTGAGAGTGTATAAACGGGAGTAAGCATTGTGGCTGTGGAATGAGTGAGTCTTCTCTGCAGTCTCGTGCTGCCATCTATTGACTAGAGGTGGCAGCAAACAGAGTAGACAAAAGAGGAAGGGGGAGGGTAGAAATCCCAGAAAAGGTGGGATTGGGGCCCTTTTCCCCAAAGCCTCAGTAAGCCTTAGGAAGGGGGAGGGTAGAAATCTCTAACAGGAGGGGTTGCCCCACCCCCTTAATAATCCTTAAGGTGGAGAATGTTTCAAGTAAGACAGGAAAATTTTAAAGTCTACAGAGTAATGAAATTCCTTCTGATAGCCCCTTGGGGCTTATGCTAATGTATTGGAAAGATAATGAAAGAACCAAGTATAAACGAAAATAACAGATGATAAAATATTGTTGTTTCATTTGGGTTTGAGAACCCATCCTTAAACCCTCACTTTTCTGGCCAAAATTTGGGTCTAATGAGGAGCGGATTTGTCAGCCCTTAATAAAACATGTTAATGATAGGAGCCCTGTCTCCCAGGAAGGATCCATTACGCCCTCTGCTGGCGTCAGGGGCCAGTTCTCCTTTACCCTTTAGACTCCGGAGGGAGAAAGTCAGAAGCCAATCCTTCTAAAAGGGAAGAAGTTCCCATGCCCCGACAACCCACAACTAACACGTGGGATCCTCTAAATCATCTTCCTTCCTTCAGCGCCCCTAATCCCCACCCCGCTCCGCTTCCCTTCTCAGGTCCCTCCCCTGTTTGCATCACTCTTCCGGCTGCCCCTAATCCCACCCTTCCGGTTCCTGTCTCAGGTGCCCCAGCTTGTGCCGTCACTCCGGCTGCAGTTTCAGGTTACTCCCCAGCCACTTCAGGTCATCCTCCAGCCTGTGCCCGTCACTCCGGCTGCAGTTTCAGGTTATTTCCCAGCTGGTTCAGGCAGAGGCCCAGCCCGCTCTATTCCCCCAGCTGCTGCTGTGGATCCCTCCTCTGCTTGTGATACTTCTGCACATATCAACCCCCCTCCTTATACTCCCAATTCTGCAGAATTCTGAGCCTGCCCGCTCCCAACCTATTAAGTATCCCTCTTTAAAGGGGCTTCAACAAAATAGAACAATGTAAAGAAGATATTCAAAACTTTCCATTTTCCTCCACACCCAGAGAGCCAGATGCAACTTTCTTTCCTTTAGGAGAGGTACCACAAGGCCGGAGGAAGCTATTGGCTTTGTAAGTGCTCCCTTGACTAGTTCAGAGGTCCATAATTTGAAAAAGGAGCTTCAGCCATTACTGGATGACCCTTATGGAGTAGCGGATCAAATTGATCAATTTTTAGGGTCTCATATATACACTTGGGCCAAGTTGATGTCCATCTTGGGCATCCTCTTTTCAGGGGAGGAATGAAGTATGATTTGGAAGGCTGCTATGGTGGTGTGGGAACGTGAGCAGCCTCCTGGCCAAAATGTTCCTCTTGTGGACCATAAATTTCCCACCCACGACCCTCAGTGGAACAATAACAATGCAAATCACCGGGAAAACGTGCGGGACCTAAGAGAGATGATAATAAAAGGAATTTGAGAATCAGTACCCCAAACTTGAAATCTTTCTAAAGCATTTGATATTAAACAGGAAAAAGATGAGGGACCCAGTGGGTTCTTAGATAGATTGAGGGAGCAAATGAGACAATATGCAGGGGTTGATCTGGGAAATCCCCTTGGACAGGGAATGTTAAAACTTCACTTTATTACTAAAAGTTTGTCAGACATTCCAAGAAAATTACAAAAAATAGAAAATTGGAGGGACCATCCCCTGAGTGAACTACTTAGGGAGGCTCAAAAGGCATATGTCAGAAGAGACAAGGAAAACAAAAACAAGACAAAACTTATGGTATCTACCTTCCAGCAGATGGCTCCAAATCCATATATCTCTAAGCAGGGCTTCCAAGGAACCAGAGATTATGAGGGGCCTAGACCCCTCCAAGCCTTCATTTAGAGGGCCGAGGTCCTCAAATAATAAGCCCCCAAGGGGTATAGGTGGGGCAAGGGCAGAGAATGCTCAGACTGAGAAGGGAGAAGGACAAGATAGATGTTATCGATGTAGAAAAACAGGCCACTTCAAGAGCGAGTGTCCTGAACTAGAGAGAGAGAAAGAGAGAAACACACTCATGACTTTTGAGGAACAATAGGGGAGTCAGGGGCTCTGCCTCTTTTATTTTGAGTCCCACCAGGAGCCCTTGATAAATTTGGAGGTGGGACCTAAACGTGAATTTATCACCTTTCTAGTCGATTCAGGGACTTCATGCTCCTCTGTTTGTTTCCTTCCACCTGGTCTTATATGCTCTTCAGAAGAACTTTTAGTCTCAAGGGTAAAAGGAGAAGGATTTAAGGCAAAAGTTTTAGAAAGCACAGAAGTCAGATATTAAGATCGATTTACACATATTCAATTTTTATTGATTCCTGAAACAGGAACTAATTTATTAGGAAGGGACTTAATGTTAAGGCAAGGCATAGGCCTTCCAGTGGGCCCTAAAGGATTCATCATTTCACTACATTTACTCACTGCTGTGGATGAGAAATATATTCATCCCAATGTCTGGTCAAAGGAAGGAAATAGAGGGAAACTCCAAATCCTTCCAATACATATCAAACTAAAAACCTCTGGGGATATAGTCGAAAGCACTATCCCATTCCTTTAGAGATCAGAGTAGGGCTAAAGCCTGTAATTGAGGGTCTTGTTAAAGATGGGCTTTTTGAACCCTATATGTCTCCTTATAATACCCAATCATGCCTGTCAAGAAATCAGATGGGTTGTATCAATGGGTGCAAGACCTTAGAGCTATTAATCAAATAGTCCAGACCACTCACCTCATTGTTCCTAACCATTACACCATTCTTAGCAAAATTCCATATGATCATCAATGGTGTACAGTGATAGATTTGAAAGATGCCTTCTGGGCATGCCCCTTGACTGAGGATAGCCACGATATATTTGCCTTTGAGTGGGAAGACCCCTATTCAGGGTGGAGACAACAATATCAATGGACAGTCTTGCCCCAGGGGTTTGCAGACTCCCCCAACCTCTTTGGTCAGATCCTAGAACAAGTACTAGAGAAAGTTACAGTCCCTAAACAAATATGTCTGCTTCAGTACGTGGATGATCTCCTTATATCTGGTAGAGACATAAAAGAAGTAGGTGACTTCTCTACACACATTCTCAGTAACTTGCAATGTGAGGGGTTGCAGGTCTCAAAAGGGAAACTTCAGTATGTAGAACCTGAAGTTAAATACTTAGGCCACCTAATCAGTGAAGGTAAATGAAAAATAGGACCTGAAAGAGTGGAGGGAATTGTTTCCCTACCCATGCCTCAAACTAAACAAGAACTCAGGAAATTTTTAGGACTAATTGGATATTGTCATTTATGGATTGACTCATATGCATTAAAAAGTAAACTTCTATATGAGAAACTTGCCCAGTGGAAGCCTGATAATCTCTTGTGGACTTCCCAGGAAATCTAGCAGATTGAGGAATTGAAAGAGATGCTCATAACAGTCCCTGTTCTAGCTCTACCCTCCCTAGAAATGCCATTTCACCTTTTCATTAATGTAAATAAGGGGGTAGCCCTAGGAGTGCTTAGACCTAGTCACTCGTGGGTGGTCCCAACGTATCCAATCCATCACAGCTGCAGCAGTATTAGTTGAATAAAGTAGGAAGTTAATCTTTGGAGGAAAGTTAACAGTAAACACGCTCCACCACGTTAGAACTATATTAAATCAGAAAGCAGGGAGATGGATCACTGACTCAAGAATTTTAAAATATGAGGCTATCTTACTGGAAAAGGATGATTTCATATTAACTACTAAAAATTCATAATCCAGCAGGCTTTTTAACGGGGGATCCAAACTTAAAATGAGAGCACGTATGTTTAGATCTAATTGGCTACCATACAAAAGTTCGACCAGACTTAGGAGAAACTCCCTTCAAGATGGGGCGGCACTTATTCATAGATGGGTCCTCCTGGGTGATTGAAGCAAAAAGACATAATGGGTATTCAGTGATTGATGGAGAGACACTTGAAGAAGTAGAATCAGGAAGGCTGCTTCCTGATTGGTCTGCCCAAACGTGTGAACTGTTTGCACTCAGCCAAGCTTTGGGACATTTACAAAACCAAGAATGAACTATCTATATTGACTCTAAGTATGCCTTTGGGGTGGCACATACATTTGGGAAAATTTGGATGGAAAGGGGTCTTATCAATAGTATAGGCCAAGATTAATTCATGGAGAGCTCATTGCTCATGTCCTCAACAATCTCCAACTGCCAGAAGAGATAGCTATTGTGCATGTCCCAGGGTACCAAAGGCACTTGTCTTTCACAAGTCTGGGAAATAATCTTGCAGATCAGATAGCAAAACAAATTGCTGTTTCTTCTGAAACACCTGTTTTTCATTTAACTCCATGCCTTCCTTCTCCTACTGCAACCCCCATTTTCTCTTCCATTGAAAAGGAGAGGTTAATAAAAATAGGAGCTAAAGAAAATGCGGAAGGGAAATGGATATTATCAGATCAAAGGGAAATGTTATCGAAACCTCTTATGAGGGAGGTCTTGTCTCAGTTACATCAGGGAACCCACTGGGGGCCCCAAGCAATGTGCAATGCAGTTCTCCGGGTTTATGGGTGTATAGGAATTTACACCCCAACTGAACAAGTTATAGATAGTTGCTTGATATGTAAAAAAACTAATAAGCAGGTTCTAAGGAAATCGCCCCTTGAAGGAAGAAATCCAGGACTGAGACCATTTTCAAAGTGTTCAGATGGATTACACTAAAGTGCCTCCAATTGGTCATTTAAAATACTTATTAGTAATAATAGACCACTTTACCCACTGGATAGAGGCAATCTCACTCTCAAGTGCAACTGCTAGTAATGTAGTTAAAGCATTAATTGAAAACATCGTACCCAGATTTGGACTAATAGAAAATATTGACTCAGATAACGGAACCCATTGCACTGTGTGTGTCATTAAGAAGTTAGCCCAAGTACTAGATATAAATTGGGAATACCATACCCATTGGCATCCATCTTCCTCAGGAAGGGTAGAGCGGATGAACCAGACTCTAAAAAACCACTTAACTAAATTAGCTTTAGAAACTCAATTGCCATGGACTAAATGTCTTCCTATTGCTATGTTAAGAATCCAGACTGCTCCTCGGAGAGATATTGGTCTCTCCCCTTATGAAATGTTCTATGGATTGCCCTACTTACACTCCACTGCTGACATCCCTACCTTTGAAACAAAAGACCAGTTCCTCAAAAATTGTATACTTGGTCTATCCTCTACCTTCTCTTCCCTTAAGACTAAAGGCCTCCTAGAACAGGTGCTGCCCCTGGAGTTTCCAGAACATCAGCATTAACCTGGAGACCATGTCCTTATCAAAGGGTGGAAGGAAGGGAAGCTCAAACCAGCCTGGGAAGGACCCTATCCAGTGCTCCTAACTACTGAGACTGCAGTCTGGACAGTGGAAAGAGGATGGACTCATACACCCAAGTCAAGAAGATGCCGCCACCTCCAGAATCATGGACTGTCACTCCAGGGCCCACCCCCACCAAGCTAACTATAAAAAGAGCTGAATAATCACTTGTTTATTCTCTTTTTTCTTTTCAACAGAAGTTCATCTTGTCATCAATGTAACTCAGGCTAGTCATCCTTTAACCCGTCAGTTCGATGCCTGTTCAGTCATTCCATATGGAGACGTTCAAGCTCAAAGGAAGCTATCTCATGTTAATAAGTATCTGTGCCCATACCGCAAAGAATCAAGCAGGTATAAGTATGGAGACTTAAATAGTCCCTGTGGTGACTGGGCAGATGTTTGGTGGACTACTAAGTACAAAGAGTGGACAGCCAAGCCACCTGCTTCAAATAAGTTATGGGGACCGAAACAAAAATTCCAACTAGTCCATTGTACCACCCCACCAAATTGTAAGCCATTACACTGTAACCCCTTGTTGCTAATTATAAATAATCCCCGGACAATGGCCCAAGAGCCCTCTATATTCGAATGGTACAGGTTAGGAACAGACATTGAAGGAAAGGACCCTATAGGAGCCTTCTCCCTGAAATTAGTTAAAACACTGGTTACCAATAATAAACGAGTTCAGACCCAAAGTCCGGGAGACAGGTGGAACCCAACACTCTCCCTAAGCATAGTGAGCCCAACATCCTCCTCCCATTTCCAAAATGACCCAACCCAGGTAACAGTTGTGGAGGTAGAAAACTTAAGGAAAACTATAGCTCTAGAGACAGGATATCAAGATGCAAATGCCTGGTTGGAGTGGATTAAATATTCCGTCCACACTTTAAACAAAAGTGAATGTTACACTTGTGCGCATGGTAGACCAGAGGCCCAGATTGCGCCCTTTCCACTTGGATGGTCTTCCAGTTGACCAGGCATGAGCTGTATGGTAGCTCTCCTCCAAAACCCCTCAGCCTGGGGTAACAAGTCATGCCAAGCTCTTTCTCTGCTGTTCCCTGAAGTTAAACACCCTGTGGGTCAGCCTCCAAGGGCCATTCAGCGTCCATCTCCCAATGCCAATTTTACTTCGTGTCTCTCATGACAGGTAGATAACTTGGTGTTCCTGGGAGCCTTAACGGGACACAGTGAGCTTAAGCCCTTCCAAGAGCTTACCCATCAGTCTGCCCTTAGCCATTCTCGAGCAGATATGTGGTGGTATTGTGGTAGACCAATACTGGACACTCTGCCAAGTAAGTGGAGCAGAATTTGTGTTCTAATTCAATTGGCCATCCCTTTCACCCTGGCATTTCATCAACCAGAAAGGATAGGAATCAAATATCATCAAACAAGAGAGGAAACCCATGGGTCCTTCGATTCTCATGTTTATATAGATGCCAATGGGATCCCAAGAGGAGTGCCAAATGAATTTAAGGCCCAAAACCAAATAGCTGCAGATTTGAATCTATGTTCTTCTGGTGGTTAACTGTAAATAAAAATGTGGATTAGGGTTAGGCGCCCAAGATGGCTGAATAGGAACAGCTCCAGCCTCCAGCTCCCAGGGTGAGTGACACAGAAGACAGGTGATTTCTGCATTTTCAACTGAGGTACCAGGTTCATCTCACTGGGGAGTGCCGGACAATCAGTGCTGGTCAGCTGGTGCAGCCCGACCAGCGAGAGCTGAAGCAGGGTGAGGCATCACCTCACCTGGGAAGCACAAGGGGGAAGGGAATCCCTTTTCCTAGCCAAGGGAAACTGAGACACACAACACCTGGAAAATCAGGTAACTCCCACCCTAATACTGTGCTTTACCAAGGGTCTTAGCAAATGGCACACCAGGAGATTATATCCCACACCTGGCCCAGAGGGTCCCACACCCACAGAGCCTCCCTCATTGCTAGCACAGCAGTCTGAGATCTAAATGCAAGGCAGCAGCGAGACTGGGGGAGGGGCACCCGCCATTGCTGAGGCTTAAGTGGGTAAACAAAGCCACTGGGAAACTCGAATTGGATGGAGCCCACTATGGCTCAAGGAGGCCTGTCTGCCTCTGTAGACTCCTCCTCTGGGGACAGGGCATAGCTAAACAAAAAGCAGCAGAAACCTCAGCAGAGGTAATGCCCCTGTCTGATAGCTTTGAAGAGAGCAGTGGATCTCCCAACACGGAGGTTGAGATCTGAGAATGGACAGACTGCCTGCTTAAGCAGGCCCCTGACCCCTGAGTAGCCTAACTGGGAGACATCCCCCACTAGGTGCAGACCGACACCTCACACCTCATGCGGTGGGGTACACCCCTGAGACGAAGCTTCCAGAGCAAGAATCAGACAGGTACACTTGCTGTTCAGCAATATTCTATCTTCTGCAGCCTCCACTGCTGATACCCAGGCAAACAGGGTCTGGAGTGGACCTCAAGCAAACTCCAGCAGACCTACAGCTGAGGGTCCTGACTGTTAAAAGGAAAACTAACAAACAGAAAGGACACCCACACCAAAATCCCATCAGTATGTCACCATCATCAAAGACCAAAGGCAGATAAAACCACAAAGATGGGGAAAAAGCAGTGCAGAAAAGCTGGAAATTCAAAAAATCAAAGCACATCTCCCCTCCAAAGGAACGCAGCTCATCACTAGCAACGGAACAAAGCTGGTCAGAGAATGACTTTGACTAGTTGAGAGAAGAAGGCTTCAGTCAATCAAACTGCTCAGAGCTAAAGGAGGAACTACGTAACCAGTGCAAAGAAACTAAAAACCTTGAAAAAAGAATGAACGAATGGATAACTAGAATAATCAATGCAAAGAAGACCTCAAAAGAACTCATAGAGATGAAAACCATAACATGAGAGCTACGTGACAAATGCACAAGCTTCAGTAACAGACTTGATCAACTGGAAGAAAGAGTATCAGCGATTGAAGATCAAATGAATGAAATGAAGTGAGAAGAGAAGTGTGGAGAAAAAAGAGTAAAAAGAAATGAACAAAGCCTCCAAGAAGTATGGGATTATGTAAAAAGACCGAATCTTTGTCTGATTGGTGTGCCTGAAAGTGACAGGGAAAATGGAACCAAGTTGGAAAAAACACTGCAGGATATCATCCAGGAGAACTTCCCCAACCTAGTAAGGCAGGCCAACATTCAAATTCAGGGAATACAGAGAATGCCACAAAGATACTCTTCAAGAAGAGCAACTCCAAGACACATAATTGTCAGATTCACCAAAGTTGAAATGAAGGAAAAAATGTTAAGGGCACCCACAGATAAAGGTCAGGTTACCCACAAAGGGAAGCCCATCAGACTAACAGTAGATCTCTCAGCAGAAACTCTACAAGCCAGAAGAGAGTGGCGGCCAATATTCAACATTCTTAAAGAAAGGAATTTTAAACCCAGAATTTCATATCCAGCCAAACTAAGTTTCATAAGTGAAGGAGAAATAAAATCCTTTACAGACAAGCAAATGCTTAGAGATTTTGTTACCACCAGGCCTGCCCTACAAGAGATCCTGAAGGAAGCACTAAACATGGAAAGGAACAACTGGTACCAGCCATTGCAAAAACATGCCAAAATGTAAAGTCCATCGATGCTAGGAAGAAACTGCATCAACTAATGAGCAAAATATCCAGCTAATATCATAATGACAGGATCAAGTTCACACATAACAATATTAACCTTAAATGTAAATGGACTAAATGCTCCAATTAAAAGACACAGACTGGCAAATTGGATAAAGAATCAAGACCAATCAGTTTGCTGTATTCAGGAGACCCATCTCACATGCAGAGACACACATAGGCTCAAAATAAAGGGATAGAGGAAGATCTACCAAGCAAATGGAAAACAAAAAAAGCAGGGGTTGCAATCCTAGTCTCCGATAAAACAGACTTTAAACCACCAAAGATCAAAAGAGACAAAGAAGGCCATTAATAATGGTAAAGGGATCAATTTATCAGGAAGAGCTAACTATCCTAAATATATATGCACCCAATACAGGAGCACCCAGATTCATAAAGCAAGTCCTTTGAGACTTACAAAGAGACTTAGACTCCCATACAATAATAATGGGAGACTTCAACACCCCACTGTCAACATTAGACAGATCAACGAGACAGAAAGTTAACAAGGATATCCAGGAATTGAACTCAACTCTGCACCAAGCAGACCTAATAGACATCTATAGAACTCTCCACCCCAAATCAACAGAATATACATTCTTCTCAGCACCACATTGCACTTATTCCAAAATTGACCACATAGTTGGAAGTAAAGCACTCCTCAGCAAATGTAAAAGAACAGAAATTTTAACAAACTGCCTCTCAGACCAAGTGCAATTAAACTAGAACTCAGGACTAAGAAACTCAATCAAAACCACTCAACTACACGGAAACTGAACAACCCACTCCTGAATGACTACTGGGTACATAACGAAATGAAGGCAGAAATAAAGATGTTCTTTGAAACCAATGAGAACAAAGATACAACATGCCAAAATCTCTGGGACACATTTAAAGCAGTGTGTAGAGGGAAATTTATACCACTAAATGCCCACAAGAGAAAGCAGGAAAGATCTAAAATTGACACCCTGACATCACAATTAAAAGAACTGGAGACACAAGAGCAAAACACATTCAAAAGCTAGCAGAAGGCAAGAAATAACTAAGATCAGAGCAGAAATGAAGAAGATAGAGACACAAAAAACCCTCCAAAAAAATCAATGAATCCAGAAGCCGGTTTTTTGAAAAGATCAACAAAATTGATAGACTGTGAACAAGACTAATAAAGAAGAAAAGAGAGAAGAATCAAATAGACACAATGAAAAATGATAAAGGGGATATCACCACCAACCCCACAGAAACACAAACTACCATCAGAGAATACTATAAACACCTCTACACAAATAAACTAGAAAACCTAGAAGAAATGGATAATTTCCTGGACACTTACATACTCCCAAGACTAAACCAGGAAGAAGTTAAATCCCTAAATCGACCAATAGCAGGCTCTGAAATTGAGGCAATAATTAATAGCCTACCAACCAAAAAAAAAACTCCAGGACCAGACAGATTCACAGCCGAATTCTACCAGAGGTACAAGGAGGAGTTGGTACCATTCCTTCTGAAACTATTCCAATCAATAGAAAAAG